ATACTAAAATACTCAATAGAATATGGCGAATTTACCTATTAATCAAACTGAACAAGTAAATGAAGATGAATCTTCTTCTTCTTCTTTACATAACCATCCACCAAGACGTTATAATCTTGATAATATTGATCTTGATGATTCACCAATTAAATCTGTTCCATATCGTTTTCAAGCTGGTTCCATCATTGATCCTATAACATTTCAACGTGTTTTAAATGAAGTAATGAATAAAGAAACACAAAAAGAACAACAAGCTCATAATTTACATGAGCAAACTGGTGATGATGATCATGATAATGATATGATGACAGATACAAATGCAAATTTATTTAACGAAACACAATTTGATGAAGAATTAGAACGAGATCTTCAAAATTTATCACAAGTTATTCAAACTAATCAACCTATGAATGACAATTTAGCTAGTGATGTGTTCGATCAATTGAGTCAAGTGTTAAGAGTACCAACAACATCTGCAAATCGAATGACAACGAATGACGACAACGATGATGATGATGATGATGATGATGATCAGAATCATGATAGTTCAAAGTTATACTATGGGCATTTAAATCGAGAAGAAATAGCTCAACAATTTAATTTCAATTTACAACCGACACCAACTCGAATAAATGATCGATTTAATGCTAAATCATTTGCTATTACATCATGGACAAATGTTTCTAAGGATTTAGTAATGGATTATATTAAAAATGAATTTGATATAGATAATATTCAATACATATGTATATGCGAAGAAATTAGTGAACTCAATCATCGACGTCATTTACATATTCAAATTAAATTTAAAACAAAAATTGATCGACGAGCACCATTTCTTGATCAAATCACACAAACACATTGTAATTATCAAGTAACACGAAAGAATAAGGCATGGAATGGTTACATAAAAAAAGGTGGTAATTATATTGAATATGGTTCCTTTCAATCTACACGACAGTCATTATTACCATCATCGGCATCTACTTCAATGGTTTCAACTCGTGCAATGACAACAAGAGCAAAAACAGAACAACGACAACAACAAAATAAAGAAATTGCACGACAAGCATTTACATTAGCTGAAACTAATGTTTATCAAGCTATGGATTATATAAGACAAATGATGCCTGATAAATTTCTCGGTCAAAGTTCATGGTATTTATCTACATTTAATTTTATTAATGGACGAAAACAACAACGTTTACGTGAAACTAGTAAAACAGATAAAGAATATATATGGCCTAATTCATTTCCACAATGTACACTACAATTGAAAGAAATTGTCAATCATTGGATACGACATCATTTTGCATGTGTAAACCGAGCTCAATGTTTAATTTTAATTGGACCAACTGGAACAGGAAAAACTTCATTCGCCTTATCATTACCAGGTTATGTTAATTATTTTAAAGGAAGATGGAATTTAGATTCATGGCATGATTATGCACGTTATTCTGTTTATGATGATATACCATGGGATGATTTTTCAAAATTAAATTATCCAAATAAAAAAGGTCTTCTAACACAAAATGGAAGAATGAATGTAAGATACCATCAATTATTTATATCTATCAATAGAAATTTATTTGTAGGCAACAGATAAATATCGACGAACAGTCGAAATTAAAGTTCGACAACCAGCTATTGTTCTTCTCAATCCAGAAGATGCTGGTTCATTAACACGTGAACCAGTTACTCGTGAAGAAAAGCAAATAGCTGAATATTGGAAGGAAAGAGCAATTGTTTATATAATGGGTAAGTTCTTTAATTTCACAACTATATATTTAACTCTTTCATTGATCGTATAGGTCCCAACGAGTATTTCTACCAACGTCAAAGACATACTACAGATTCTAGTCAAAATCAACGTTCAAGCAATGCATCGGCAGGCAATAACGAACAACGTCTAGGTGATCCAGATGAATTCGAAACAATGCGACGTGAATGGGAAGCTAAACAATAGACATTTTCGTTTTTTATTCCTATATCTTATATCTACACATGTCTTCATAATCTTTCGTTCTCATTATTAACCACTTGTTATCACTTTCTTATTTTTCACTACTTAACTTCTATTCAAGCTTTCACTATTGTATTCTAGATTTGCATTTACCTACAAGTCTGAAACCTATCTGGCTTTATATTATAAAGCCATTCGTCTACAAAATACCACAGAGAGAAGTTCGATTGTATCACTCATATTTTGATCTTCAGAAAATCAATCCAAGACAAGTTACCGATCATCGAACATTATGACACATATAAATAGATTCCAATACACAAACCCACACTGATCAACGTATTATTTGAACAGTACCAAATACCAACCACTTTTCAAACTTCAACGAAGTGAATCCCCGAAGCCC